CAAAAAGTGGCCACAAATTGGGGGCCTCTACTGGAAATTACCTTTTTGGAGATTGAATGGAATCTCACAATGTGCTGCATAAATAGCTGTGTCAGTTTTTTAGCAGTGGGTCATTGTTTACATGGAATAAAATGGGCTTGCTTCGAGAATAAATCTACCACCACCCACACCACAGTTCTCCCTTTACTGGGTGGTAGATCAGTTATAAAATCCATAGAAATGACTGACCATGGCCTCTTGGGAGTTTCTAGAGGTTGCAACAGCCCAGGGGGTTCCCCCCCTTCTCTTCCCCATTAAGCACACTTGACATGAGGATACATACTGAGAAATGTCTGCACGCATGTGCGGCCACCAGAATTGTCTCTGTACCAAATGCAAAGACTTTAGATATCCATAATGTCCCATCAGTTTATTATCATGACTGAGTTTCAGAATTTCTCCACGCAAGGAATGTGGCATGAACAACCTGTGCTGCTGATACCAACAACCATTCTCCCCCTTGGTTAGGGAGGCATCACTTTCTATGTCCTTCTTGTCCCCCTCACTGAAGGCCACTTTGAATTTCTCCACCCACGCTCGAGGCTTGGATCTCCCCCTGCCTTGGTTTGACTCCAAGTGAGCATTGTCCACCCCCCCAACTGGAACATAGAGTCTATGATCTCCTCTCTCTGGCTTGCATGTTGGGGAAGGCGCGAGAGGGCATTTGCCATAAAGTTAGCTTTCCCAGGAATGCGTTTAAGAGTAAACTGAAAGTTGGAGAAAAACTCTGCCCATCTCAACCGCTTGGTGCTGAGCCGCCGGGGGGTGCGCAGAGCTTCTAGATTTTTGTGGTCAGTCTAGATCTCAAACGGCACCCAGGCCTCTTCTAGCCAATGTCTCTACGTTGTCAGAGCCAGCTTAATGGCTGTGGCCTCTTTGCCCCACACTACCCAATGTCGCTCAGCATTCGAAAACTTTTTTGACACACAGGCAAGGGGGTATAGTTTCCCATCCTTCCCCCGCTGCAGGATGCCCCCCCTTGCTATGTCAGAGGCATCAACTTGCACAATGAATGGCTTGCTCTCATTAGGGTGACTTAAGACAGGTTCTGAGGTAAACAGTGCCTTCAGCCTTTCGAAGGCCTTTTGACATTGTCCAAATTAATTTAATACTAAGCTTTTTACAATCCGGCCCCTTCCCTTTGGTTTTCAACAAGTCTGTAAGGGGCATGTCCTCCTGAGCAAAGTTCGGAATGAATTGGTGGTAGAAGTTGGCGAACCCTAGGAAAGCTTGTAATTGCCTCCTAGTTTGAGGTGGCTTCCATCCTAACACATCTTTAACTTTGCAAGGGTCCACCCCCAGTCCTTTTCCTGAAATTCTGTAGCCTAGAAAGTCCAGCTCTTCCTTATGAAATTCACATTTTGACAGCCTCACGAACAGCCTCATGAAGAGAGCCTTCAAGACATCTCTTACAAGCTGCACATGAGAGTTCTTATCTTGAGTACAGATCAGAATGTCATCTAAATAATCACCCCTTTAAATAAATACTTGTACAACACTTAGCTAATCAAGACCCCCAGAGAGTCCAAATGGCATCACCAAATACTCAAATTGCCCCAGTGGGATATTAAAGGTAGTCCTATATTCATCCCCCTCTCGAATGCGCACCCGAAAGTAAGCATCACGCAGGTCCAGCCTTTCGTGGCCACCGCCAACAAATCCTTGATTAATGGGATGGGGTAAGCATTCGACATTGAGATAACATTCAACCCATGATAATCTATGCACAGCCTCAACCCTCCATCCTTTTTCTTGCTGAAGAGCACGGGAGCAGCGAAAGGGGAAGGAGCAGGATGGACGAACCCTCTAGCCAAGTTCTTGTCTATAAATTTTCTGTTTTTCCCTTTCAGCAGGGCTTATGGAAAACAGTTTTCCCTTAGGGAGCTTGTGGCCAGTGAGAAATTCAGTACCACAGTCAGTCTTCATGTGGGGGAGAAGCTCGTCAGCCTCTGTTTCCTCAAACACTTTTGACAAGTCTCTGTACTCCAAAGGAATCTGGTTTAACTCTTCCCTGGCCAGGCACATCCGTTCAGGTGCAGGTAACGGCTCCCCCCCCCAACTCTGGATTCCAGCCATGAGTCTGACAGCGGGGGTCCACAAATCGGAGGGCCCCCAGGCTCCACTGGATATATGGGATGTGCATTCTGAGCCAGGGCCCTCCCAACACCATGGGGAACTTGGCAGATGGATTTACTATGAAGGCCCTTGATTCCCATCCATCTGAGAAAACACCAGGGGCTCCCTCAAGTCTCTTAATTCCGCCCCCAGCCCTGCCACCAAGGCCAGGCTAATCATGTGTCTACTGAATCTATGAGAGCCCGTACTCGTGGGTTTGGAGGGGAGGGTTAACTACAGTCACTGCCACAAAGAACAAGCGGGAAGAGGGCCTCACTAACTCTGGCACTGGAGAAGTGCAGACCTGCTGTTTAGCGCCCTTCACAGCAGGTCCTGGCTGTTTCCTGCCGGCTGTTGAAGTTCTTCCTCACTTGATGAGATGCTCTCCAATTTCTCTCCCCCTCCTGGCGGGCATTTGGATGCTTGAAGCAGCCTGCTGATGGCTTGAGCTTCTTCTTTTCTCTCGCCTTGCCCTGCCCCTTCTTTGCTGGCCCTGGACTCTATTCACAAAGGCAATTGGGGGTGAAGTGCTTGGGCCCCCTGCACTTCAGACACAAGCCTTGCCGCCTCTGGTGTTCCCTGTCATTCCCTTTCCCTTGGGCCCAACCTCGCTGTGCCCGGCCTCCCAACCAGCCCCTTGCACTGTTGGTGGCCCTACGGGTGGCTTGGGATGGTACATCTCCAGGAGACTGCAATGATTCTCAGCCTCACATGCCACCTGAATCCAGCCGTTGAGAGTGACTGGGTTCTCCTGGGTCAGGGCTTTGTCCAAGATGGCGTAATTCAGGCCAGCCCGGTAGAACTCTATCAGCACTTCCTCCGACCAGCCTTGCAGTTTAGCCACGTAGGTCTTGAACTTGTCCGAGGATGCTCTGACAGATTGGTTCCCTTGTTTCAACCCTCGAAGGTGGGTTCTGGCCTGCTCCATCTTGAGCGAGTCCTCATGCTGCCGGCGGAGGGCCCTCATGAATGTATCCACATCTCAGAGTTCGGGGCCTCCTACATTTTAAAGACACACAAACCAGTCTGCCACGCGGTCTCGCAGCCAGGTAGTTCACTTGGTGCTCATCAGAGGCAAAGGTGTGGCCCCATTCTCTCAGGAACTTACACACCTGCAGCACAAAAAAGGCCAGCTTCCCCAGGGTCCCATCAAAAGTAGATTCCAGTGCATCGCCGGGGGTGCAGGAAACAGGTGCAGAGGGGGGGCCACCAGCAGGGCCCCTTCATCCCATGGAGCGGGAGCAGCTCCTTCCCCCCCTTGCAGTCCCAAGCCCCGGAACGCCTGCTGCAGGACATGGCGAATGGCATCGGGGAGGCCCTCCAGGGCAGCCCAGGTGTCTGCGCAGCTCTGCCATTTCGGTTTTCAGCTCCTGCCGGATGAGCTCTATGTCAGCTTCCTCCAGCCGATGTCTCACGGCCTTCAGGCGCTCGGGGTCAACGTGGAACACTCTCCTGAGCCCTAGTGCCAGTCCTCATCCACCCACTGCCACCAGGCTCCTGTTGCTCCAAGGGAGGGGATAGCCCAGTCTGGGACATCCCACCATTCCATCTCTGCCCATCGGCACTTTGGCTTCACATCAGGGCCCCACTGTTCCCCTTCGGGTGGCACGGTGCCCTCCTTGCCAGTGGGTGACTTTGGGAGGGTCTCTGTTTCAGTCTCCTCACTTCCATCGCTCATCATGTCGGTGGTGCACCAGGTCAAGGGGAAAAGGCAGTTCTGACACTATGTCAAGTCCTGGACTCAATCACTCTCACGAGACTCTTGTAGCAGCAAGATTTGTTGATTTGGAGTTAGAGAGATTCCAAGCATAGACAGATGCTGTGTCAGAACTGGACACCGGATGCCAGGTCCAACCCTATACAAAAAGCAGGATAGCCCCCCTATGCAAACCACCCAATCAATGTTTGCAGTCAGCCCATCAAAGCTCTAGGCCTACCCTCAGGGCTGGCCCAACACCTGCAAACTAATGGTTACATCCCAAATTCAAGTGATAAGCGGAGATTGTGAGCTTCCCGGGGTCTTGCACGCACTATACAAGCTCAAGCAGACATTCACACCAGCATCCACTCCCCCCACCATCCTGGCAGAGAAGATAAATGGCATTGGAGAAAAAAACAGTGAAAGAAGCATGTTTAAGAAAGCAGTTAACCCTAAAGCAACAGACCAGGAGTTTGGCTGGACAGCATTCTATGGCAAGTGAGGCCTGAGCTTGACAAAGTTCTCCTAGCTGGGACAAGAAAAGTCTGGACACCCTGTCAGAAGCAAAAGCCAAGGTCTGGGGAACAGGGGAACAATGAAGTGAAATATGTCTTGACCAGCCTACATTTGTCAGAGTTCCATTGGGCTTGCATCCATTGCAGGGAGGGAAATGCTAAGAAAAAACAAGTGACTGTACAACTTAGTGAGCCTCATCGTTTTCTTTTCTTTGTTCTGTAATGCTCTGTAGTGTTTTGATGTAATTTTCCTGTGCCCCGTTCTAGTGAATGGAGATTGTATTTTGATAAATAAATATCTTTTCCTTTTAAAAATCTCAGACTGTGATCAAAGAACCTCACCCAGGGCACCTGACTGCTCATCTTCACAACAGACCAGGTACTTCTGACTGGGCTGCAAACAGTTAGCTGACCAGGAAGGAGGGTGTGTATAGAGCAGTACACACATCCACATGTGCCTAGTGCCTATCTGTGCCTCAAGCTGCAGGAAGAAAAGGGGGGGGGGCAGAGCTTGAGTGGCTGACTAGCAAAGAAGGAGAGTCAGAAGGAAGGGCTGAGAGAAGACCCTCTGCCTATTGGGCAAAGACAGCAGGAAGGAAGGAAGGGGAGGGCTCTTTACAAGGGGTACTTACTGTCAAAGCCTGGATTGCCTCCCATTCCTGTGGTGACTGGATTTTATGAGCCAGCAACCTCACAGCTATCTGTGGACTGAAACAAATGAGTAGAAAACTGTCATTCTCCATCTACTTTTGCAGCTGTCACTGCATGTGCTGCAAACAGATCTTCAAACTTTTCTCCACAAATATAAAGACTAAAAATGCCTCTGAAAAAGGCAAGAAAGAACGCTGAAGCTGTCAAGGGTCTGCACTCAGTGCAATGACGCCCCTCAGCAGCCATTTCCAACTCTTTAAAAGTTTATTACGGGGGGGGGGGGGGTCACAGGACCCTCATTGAATAAGAGCCACAGGAGTTGAAAGGCTGCAGTGGGAAAGGGAGCAAAATTATTCCCTCCTTCCTCTTTTGTCAGCTGACCTCTGTTCACGCAAGAGGTGGCGCAATGTTGCTCCCAATGTGGCTATTACTCTGGCCCTAGGAATAAACTTTCCAGGGGTTGGAATTAGCTGCTGGGGGGAAGAGCAAGCTGTTGACAGATCATGGGATCTAACCCAAGATTTTACTTTGGTCGCCCCCCTGTGAACCAAAATGGGCTATTGAATGATCCATGAGTGCTCATTGCCAATTCCCTCTATAAGGCTTTATTTATTCAGCTCATAAAATGTTGTAACAGAAAAACAACAAATAGCATTTTGTAGCCTTTAAACCCTTCACGGACATCAAATGTTTTGTCCTTATACTGTTGGGTATGTCAAGCATATTACCAGTGGTCAGGAATGCTTTTGTTTGACTCCTGTTGCACCCCAAAACGTACCATGACAGACTGTAATTTTCTTCCCTTCATTTTTTGCTAGATTAAATATAATACTTCTCAATTTCACGTTGTTCATGATAGTTAATTATGACAATAAGTCAACACTTTTAGAGACATAAAGACTCTACAAGCATGTCAGAGGTTGTGATTCCTATGACAGAATGAGGCTCAGCCATTACCTTTGATTGCTTTGGCACAGCATATCAAAACAGTCTGCCACGTTGACGATTAGAACTTCTTTGCAACTTTTTCATTTTTAGAAGACTAAAAATTATCGACACCTATCAAAATCCATAGCAAACCATAGCAAATTACTACCCCACTTCCAATCTGCTCATGAATCATACTAAGTGAAGCACTGAGAATGCCACCTTTCAGCTTCTCCCATGAGACCTTGAATGGCTGCCTGAATGGTTTTGGACACATACCCTTCAAGTTCTTTGTTGATCTGATCGCAGAAGCCAATAATGTATTCCCAGTCTTCTTGTCTGTTCAGAGGGTTGGTAGCTTTATCTGATGAAAAGAAAACAGCAAGTGCATTAGGTCAAGAAAGATGCAAACAGAAGAATTCTGTTTGTCTTGGACAGGGCAATAGCTGAGAATTAGTATACTTTTCCCTTTCTTTTTGCATTCAAAAATACTTTAAGAAGTGGGTGTTATGGAAGGAAAGGGGGGAAGTATATTTCCTTGCTGGGAAACTCCCTTAGAACAACAATTTCCTGGAAATCACCTGGTAATCAGCTGCCACCATGGAGGAACCTCTTGAGAACATCTAGACTGACCCACAGAGATGGTCCATTCTAGTGCACGACTAGAGCAATAACAAAGTGACGGTAGAAAATCTAGAAAATACCTTATAATCAACTATGTAGCATCCTTGCAGTCTAGGACATAGGGAAGAGATTCAGAGAAATATCCTGGAGAAGTAAATGGTACTAAGCATAGCAGTGGGGGGGGGGGGGCTTTTATAAAAGAGAAAACAAGGAAAAATGCATTAAGAAAAGTTGTGGGGAAAGGGCAAACCAAAATAAAGGAAAGGCACACAAGACACACAGCACAGAGATTTTCAAAAAAAAAAAGCAGTAAAGTTGGACTAATTCAGCTAAGTACGTGTTACCTAGGCTGTAGCAGGTTTCTCAGAGCATGTGCAGGATTCCTTGCAGTAACAAGATGCTGGAGTAGTCCTTAACTCCTACCCAACCTACTGTGGACTCAGTTTTTGCTGAAGACTGAAAACTGAAGACAAGGAAAAGGCCCAGAGGTGCAGATATTTATAGTCAATGGAATGGGACCTAAGCCAGCCTCCTTTCTAAGACTAATGCGCTAATGTAGCCAATGCCATGCAAAGCCCCATCTTTGATGGCTGAGGCTACTTTTAGCAATCAGAGACTTATAAAATACAGACCCCCTCCAATCAAGCATCTGGAAATGGCTCAGAAATTCCCTAAAAAATAGGTGGACTGGTCCAAACCGAACTATCCTTTGTCCCAAAAGGATTATCTCTTGGGATGGTCCAATGTGGAATGGAAATGAATGGGTCATTCAAATGTAAACTCCCAGGAGTTCATGTTCCCAGTTGCTTTAAGTGTCACTCTTGAGCCCTAGTAGGTTTTTAGCATTTCTGTAACAATGGCTTCAACATACTTCAGATCAGTCTGAAATGCTACATGTCATAAAACTGTTTCCAAATCAGCTGAGCATGAAGAACTGTACTGGCTTGCAGGCTCCGAGTATTAGGTGCCAGAAGTCAGGCAAAGCATGGTTGTTTGGTTCAAGGTCAGTGAGTCCAGAAGTCAGGCAAAGCAGAGTCACTTCAGTCCAAGGTCAGAGGTTCAGAATTCAGACAAGGCAGATTTGGTGACTTAGCGTCTATTGTACGAGTTGCGTCCATACCTAACAGCATCTCTTGGCTGGTCTTATAACCCCACTCCTAAAGGTTGTTGGATTCTCTGGACTTGGTACTGCCAGGGAACCAAAGAAAGTAACAGAGTAGTCAAGGCTCTAACGCAGCAGATCTGGGGCTAGGTGTGGCAACAGACTTACAAAGGTACATGGAGTCAGCAATCAGTTCTAAAACTAATAAGCAACTTTCATTAAAAGAAATACATGCTTGAGAGTGCAGGTAAGAGATAGATATAGATTATCTGCTCTAACTAACTAGATAGTGTTGGATGCTGGATGCATGTCCAGCCTCCATGGTGCAAGATGGAGAGATCATGCACCTTCTTTGTGTGCATGCGAGAGAGAAAGAGGTGAGAGAGCAGAAGCAGATGAAATTGCCTCTAAGAGTAGCATTCTATTTCAAAGGAAAGGATCAGATAGCAGGAAGGAAAGGATGTTCTATGTGTCCTGACCTCTCTATTTGTCTAAACTCTTTGGTGCCATCTCTCAAGTTTGAGACAGGAGACAGTGCAAAGTCCTCCACTTCTAACAAAGATCAGGCTTGCAGCCAGCTGCTCAGAAGTAGTCCTGCAACTACTTATCTTTGTCATCAGCAAGCAGCTGGTATCGGGCCAGGAGGCGTGCACTTTGCCGTCTTGCCTGTAGCTCGGTTCTCAGCCTCTGTCTGTGATGCTCTAAGGGTTTAGGTGATACTGGTGGGTTGGGAATGACCAACTGAGGTTCACCTGCTGAATCAGGGCTTGAGGGTGTCGTGGCTCTGCACCAGCTGTTGGCTATGAATCCTGAAAAGTCTGCAGCTCATTTTCCTGCTGATCAGCTTCTGTTAACTGAAGGCTGGCTACAAGGGGCTCCTCTTCTCCTGAGGAGTCCTCCTCACTATTGCTGAGCCCTGGCTGACTCATGACAATAACATTACAAAAATTAACTCAAGAAAGTTAAGCAAACATTCATTCATCACCTTCAATTTGCTATTTTGTTCCATGTCTGTCAATTTCTCCAGTAATAAACTGAGGATATATTCTCAATTGTATTCATGGAACATTGACACAGACTAGTCAAAATATGGAAGACTTGAAAATGCTCAACAATCTTAAACAATTTCTAATATTCAAAGGACCCAAACTTTGCACTTTCCAACCACTTAATAACCAAGGGAGGAAACCATCCAAAATTGAGAACTTTTATTTGAATGGAACAAAAGGGCTTAGTTTTGGCTGCTTCACCTCCAGCGGTTACCTTGCTTTCAGCACATCTGTACTTGTTTTTGATCATTAAGGCGATTGCCTACAAAAATTCCTGCCACAACAAAGAAACCAATTAATCTCTAAAGTGCTGTAGCATTTTTGGTATCTTCTTGATGTTTGACCTCTGGATTATGAGGAAATCCTATACATGAAATCAACCTTGGCATTTGACTGTCAGACAGATCTTAAATCTTTGGGATTTCTGTGCCTTGTTCTTGTAGTACAATATTTCAGATTTTCTACCTTTCCACATCTGTTCATCTGCCAAGGAATGCCTATATCTGTCATGAAAGTCCTGCATACTGCAGGTGATTCAGAAGGCATGTTGTCACCCTGTGCAGGGCATGTATCATAACTCACATGCTCCTTTGTTGTCCAATTTGAACTGGGATTGTGCCCTAGGACACACCCTATATTAATTTGTGGCTACAGATAGCAAAAGAAGATCAATAGTATCAGGCAAATTATCTTTCAAGGAAGCTGTCCAGTATTACTTACTGATCTTTTCCTTATGGAGTCCCTGATAAGCTTTTGGGGGAATCCAAACATTCCCCTGAACAATGTTCCCTCTAAGCTCCACAGTGTGGTGAGCAAAAATTCTACCTTGTTAGCAAAAAAGCTAGTAGCATGAAAATTGTAAACAAGTCTACATTTGACTGTACATCACCTAGAGCAGGGGTGTCGAACTCATTTGTTATGAGGGCTGGATCTGACATAAATGACACCTTGTTGGGCCGGGCCATGTGTGTCATAAAATGTAATGCCAAGTAGCAGAGATATAAACTTTATAAATGACACAAACACAAAGGGTCTTTTTTTTACTTAAAATAGAAACATGCTTAAAACAGTAGCACTCTTGCAATATTTTGTTTATTTAACAGTGTCTGATAACTGACACCTCTTGCTCTGAATTATTGCAGGAAAATGTCTGTGCTTTTGCAATCTTGAGTATGCTGTTCAGGTGTGTATCTGTAAGCTGCAAACCTACGATGACGCAGTAGCAGCAGAACTGGAAGAAGAAACAGAAGACAGCCAATTCCATTGCGGGCCTGATAGACCCAGGCCGCATGTTTGACACCCCTGGCCTAGATCCCTACATCATAGGGAATAGGTGATTTATAAATAATACTACTACTACTAATAATATTTTTAGATTATTTCCATAACCTTATAAAAATCTCAGAATGAATTTTTTAAAACTATATTTAAGCTATATTTTAAGAATAATTTAAACATTAGAAGAGAAAACAAGTCAAATTTCATTACACAAAATGTTGTCCTCTACAGGGGTAGACCAGGCCTCCGGAGAACAGGTCTACCCAACCCTTGCCACTATATTGGTAGACCTGGCCTCTGGAGAACAGGTCTACCTGCCCCAGTCCACTACATTGGTAGACCTGGCCTTGGACCGTTGCCCTGCACTGAGCCTTAGAAACCATACCAGCACTTGGGAGGGGGGGAAACGCTTGAAATCTACTTTGCTTTTTTGTGAAATATGAGAACCAGGATTACAGGTCAAGTATAGCAGAGGTGGAACAATCACTGTCAGAACCCTGCCTAACCTAACTAACAGGAAGTTGCTTAAATGTTATCAACCTGCCCAAACTACTTATTTATTCAAATATTTATATCTCACTTTTCCCCGTGACTGAAGGCAGCTTACAAATCATACTGAAAAGCATAACAGGGGTGTGCAAAAAAAAATAATCATTTTTTTCTGGCTCAACTATAGCCTATGGGGACCATTATAGTCAATGGGCCTCATAGGCGATAATGGAGAATCAATCCAGGGGTATCTGAGGCCCTGGGTGGCCCCTGTTTTTTGAGGTAGAGGCACCAAATTTGCAGCATAGCTGCTGGTACCTCTCCTAACCCCCCCCCCCCAGTTTCAAAACGATTGGACCGGGGGTCCAATTCTATGGGCCTCAGAAGGAGGTGCCCCCATCCTCCACTGTTTGTGAGCTGAAGCAGAAATCCTCTGAGCTGGCCTCTGAAATGTTGTGTGCCAGCGCCCCCTAGCACAGTTTAGAGGGAACTGTGCCCCTGAATACAGATTATACTTTTTATTTGCAACTGGCACTATTGCACTCACTGGAGGAGTTTATATTTCTCTCTGGAAACAGGAATCAAACTTCATTATTCCAAGACCTGCCTTTCACCGGTTTTGCAAGCAGCAATTGCAGAAACTACAAGATGTTGATACAGATTTCTGTTTCACTTGTTCTACACAAGTCAGCATAGAAGCTGATTAAACCTTCTTTTTACAGAACTGACCAGGAATGTGAGAGAATGAAATACGGTCCATTCCTTGGACAGAGCAATAAATGTCTGAGTTATATTACAAAAACAAGAAATGCAATCAATCAT